GATTGCCTATTTTATGAATGAGTTTTCTTTTTACAAAAAAAATCACAGTAGAGGCATGCTAATGAATTCTGAGTTCCCTAATACTTTTTATGCTTTCAGCTTCTTTGCTTTGTTTTGTTTTACTTTTCACAGTTTTCTGAGATAGTTTGAAAGCATGACTCAGGGGAGATTCTTCCAAATGCCCCCAAAGGTACCAAGTTATCAAGATCCCACCATCATTGTGATCGCTCTCACATTGCTTTTCCTCTTTGTATGCTCTGTTCCTGTTAAATTCTCGTCTCTATCCCCTGCTCTCTCTGTACTTTTCTTTCTCGACTTCAAGAGATCCTGTTCATCCCATAGTACACAATTCAAGTATCATCTCTGCTGAGATTCCTTCTTAGCTTTTGCATGCAGATTTAGCCACCACTTACCCTGAGCTTCCACAGACCTTATGTCAGAGGCCTCATATAAACATATCAGTTTGTAGTATACAATATATTCCCCGCCCCCCATGAGATGGTGAGCTCCTGAAGGGCAGGGGTCATGGCTGGAACAGTAGTGAGGAACAACACCCTCTCCTGACCCAGTCACTTGCACACTATTTCAAACATATTTCGCCCTTGACAAAACTTCACCAAGGTAACTCCAAAATGTGTCCTAGGGAATGGAAAAGTCCATGTAGATCTCATCTGATATTCAGATACTCTCTCTACTTTTCTCGTGAAATTTGATAGAAAACAATTTCGAGCTAGAAAACATGAGTTACTTTCCTATTTCTTACATCCTTCTGTATGCTCTAAGACAAAAATCAATACTTGTGTGCCTTGTCAGAACACAGGGAATAGATGACCTGCTCCTCTCAAATTATTTTATCCTCAATTCAGATCATAAAACAGAGTAGGAAAAATATATCTTGGAAAGTAAGATCTTATTATTGTTGTATAAGATCTGCAAAATAATTTGAGTCTGAAGTAGAAGAACCAGACATGCATGCAGGGGAAGAAAGCACACACTAGCTGTGCTCTGTCATGGAGGAAAAGCCTTTATGTTTCAAACTACAGAGACAGAGAAAGATTCATGTTTAAAACAGCTACAAGGATTGTTTAGATTCCATTAAACTCTTAAACCATAGCTGTGAGATTTTATTTTTTTCTCTGTTTTGAGGGAGGGGAAGAAATGGTAAGTAGGAGAACAAAGAGATGGAGGCTAGAATGTGCCTAATTCACACCAAACTCATTGGGTAATTGATCCAATTTTCACTTACAATACCCTGTGTAAAAACTTGGATGTGGAGTAGAAAATTATTTCAAGGGAGTCAGGAGGGTTGTGTTCTAGATGCGACCTCTGTCACAACTGTGGCATGAATTTGCCAAGTCCCTTCAACTTCTAGGGCCTCAGTTCTTCCATCTTTCAAATAGGGTGGGGACTCTTTCTTGTTTATCCTGTTTTCTCAGTACTTATAACACTCTTAGATAACATTAAGTGTAACTTTTAATTATGAAAACATAAATATTATATAAATGTTTGTATTTATAAATAACATAAATAGTATGTTTGTTCACTTGTATTCATTTAAAGATTAAAAAGGTACAGATGCATAAATGAGAATGTTAGTCTAGATGATACAAATCTATTTTAGATATAACACTCAAGAGGTAGAATGTTATATTTATAAGCTATTTCTTTTTTCCTTCTTTCTTTTTCTCTTTTTTCCTTATTTCTTTTTTTCTTTCTTCCTTTCTCTTTAGAGAGAGCAAGCATGTGGGGGGTAGGGAAGGAGCAGAGAGAGAGGGAGAGAGCAAATCCCAAGCAGGCTCCACAATGAACTCCACATGGGGCTTGATCTCAGGAGTCAAAATCAAGAGTCATATGCTTAACCAACTGAGTGACCCAGGCACCCTATTTCCTTCTTCATAGTAATTGGTAGAACTCTTTGCTCTTCCTTCTAGGATGTTAAATATAATGTAGAAGAGTCAGATAAAACATCACATAAATCTACTATTACCTCCATGACCAGGGACAAGTGGTTACTCTGGGCTTTAGCTTTTCCATTTTCAAAATGACAACAGCTATTTATATTGTGAAGACTGGAGATTATCATGACAGCCATGTCCCCATATCTGCCACATGAATATTCACTTCCTTCTTATTTCCTCTCTATGATAACTAGGGCAGGGCCCATGCATCGTATGTGCTCAAAAACTTGTTGATCAGTGACTTGAAATTTCTCAAACACAGTACACTTTTTTATCCATACATTTTAAATCTTGTGAGAATTCCTATTTCAGTGAAGTTGCAAATCCTTCCAAAATTTCCTACTCACCAAAGGATGTCTTAGTAAAATATGGATAGAAAAAAAAATAAATTTCACAGTAAGCATAGACAATCTCCAAGATTCTGTTCATTTAAAAATTATGGTTCCAGTAAATTGAGTTTCTCATTCATGTTCAAGGCAGACACAGAATGACTCAGAATTAGAAACAGATGATAGCTTGATACATCTTCTTCAGTTTCTTCAGAAAAGCAGATTTCTCCTTAAAATTCCTTCAAATAAACCCACCTTAATTGGTTTGTACAATTCTTTCACACAAATCACTGAAATTGTGGGAAGAAAAGTAATTTGGGGCTCAGGTGATCTAGATATTCAGTAATACAAAGTGGCTTTTTTATTAAAAAATCTTTTGGTTCATTTGAAAGCAAACATTTTAACCTTCAAAAGAGGTTAATGTTGAGAATCAGTGCTTGAATATTTATGTACTGTTAACACCAAATGAATCACAGGGGCAAAACCCAAGAGTGAGATGTGATTCCATCACTCTGATCCCAACATTTAGCCATGAGGACAGCATTTTTTGGACCTGGGATTGTCCTATGAATTATATTTTCTCTAAACTATTGACCTTCTTTTATTCTTAACTATCTCAGAGGTGATCTGGCTACTCCTGTGTTAATCACACTGAAAAAGTTCTTGCTCAACTAATGTACACAGTGAACGTGGGAGAAACTCAGCATTTTGTGATGTCAAAAATTTCTGCCAACATTTCATTATGTCAAAAATGCCTGGTTTTGGGGAAGGTGACAATGATTGGTCAGCACACATAGTATACGGGGAAGATCAAAAGGGTGGATGTAATATCACCTCCAGGATAAGTATATTGCTGAAGGATGCTCATATCCCACATCCCTTCTCTCCACAGTCCATTTCCACGGAATATATGACTAAAAACCAGTCACTTCATTCCCATATTCCCCAGGCCTCTGGTGAAATAGAAAAATACTCAGCCAGGAAGCAAAGGTAATCCACAGGCATGCTGGGGGACTTTTGCAGCATCTGTGACCTCACAGACTGCTGGTGGCATTTCTGCTGATTTGTCTCCTGCCTTTTGCTTAGAGCTATTTCTCTCTTATTTTATACTCTCACATTGCTCTTCCTCCTTGCATCTGACTGACTATATTCTTTCAAAAGATAGTTTTATTTTGTGTGGATCGTTTTCTCTTTATCCTTTTTCCGTCTTTCCCTCCCTCCCTAACCCTCACCTATTTTAGTTTTTGCCCTTCAAACCATTACATTAAAAAAGAAGAAAGACAAGCTTTTAGAAAATTCCTCATTCCTACACCATTGCAAAGTTTTTCACTTCACATTTCCTTATTAGAAGAGATGACTTATTTTTCTAACTTAAACAAGCATTTAGGGACTGACCAAATCCAGATTCACCTATTCCTTTTCTTTTTATAGTAATGCCTTGTGGCATGTTGAGGTTTTTTTGCAGGGAGGGGGGTGTTGGGGACATTCAGTTTTATGTCTCTTCCTATTTTTCTAACCTCTTTACCTTTGTTGTTTGCTAGTCTCACTCCCTATTCTCTTTTCTTTACTGATCAACTTTCTTGCCACCTGTGGACTCACTACCAAAGTTATCAGCTTTCTTGAGGTAGGGATATTTCTTATGTCAAGAATGTTGGCCTCAACTTTGAATCTTTTTGTTAAGCACAAAACCAGGTATATATATATATATATATTTTGTCCATGTTAACTCTCGTATTTCTTCTGTCTTCTGGTATCCCCACAAATGTATCTCCCATGGGAATTTTTTTGAATTTACATAAAAAGTTCTATTTACCTTTTTTATTTTCTAGTGCTAATCATAGCCCCAAAATAGTCACCATTTGATCAGCCTCAAACACTACTACTAGACAATATCTATTATTTGAATTTGTTATGTTTGGCCTTTTGAGTCTCTCAAGAAACCCGACCACTGACAACTTCTGGGTTTTTTTGTTTTGTTTTTTTTAATAGTGTAGCAAAACAAATTTACCAGTCTTTACCTCCATTAGCATCCCATATCCCTTTAAGCCTGTATCTCTCTCTCTTCTAAACCTGTTAAACCACAAAATTTGGTTTGATCACCTTGCACAGGTCCCACAAAGAATCGCATTCCTTCAACCCCTGTCACTTTCAAAAACCAACTTTCCTCAGGGCTTTCAAAGACTGACCACACTCTGTCAGAGGGGAGACAAGGAGAAGGGGACAGGAAGTTCCTAATCAAAGAAACAAACACAGCAATCAGCATTGATAATCCTGCCCCTGGGTCTGTGTTTGCATCTGTGTGTTTCATTGACTATGCATAGCACCTCTTTCTTCTTGTGAGTATTTCTGAGACCAGGAGCATATTTTTCTTGATATCGTGGCTATTTTCATAAGTACCATGTTATTATTTTTTTTAAAAAAAGGACATATACATTACGATCAAATATCACCCAGCAGGGAATCAAAGGAAAAAAATAAATAAATCTTTAAGTTCTATACGTTTCTCACTAGCTGGCTTTCCATTCTTCTGACTCGTCCACATCTTTTCAACCGCCCTTACTACTTTTGAACATCCTGCCAGACCCTTGGGCTTCACTGCTGCTGCCTGCGAGCCCCCCGGCGTTAGACCACCACATCCCGGTCCCGTCCTTCACTCCGGACCCTGGCCTCTCCGCAGCTCCCTTCCTTCCCGGCCTTCGGAATGAAAACTTACCGCTCTTCCCCACTCCCCCAGCTCCCAGCATCACCACCTTGTACTCGCGGGACCCGCCTGATGCGCGGCCGGGGGAGCCGCTGGCTTCGTTTTCCAGCTCCATCTTACCGAGAGACGGGAGGAGGAAAACGCAGAAGGAAAAAGTCGCCCGTGTCAGGTGCTCGCCCAGATAGTGAGCAACTCTAAAACTGTGTCAAAAGAAAGGTCTAGGACGAGGTAAGAACCATCAGCGTGGGGCTGGCGGCTGGTCCTCTGCTCCAGCGAGTCTCATAGCAACCACTTCAACTGCTTCCAATAAAAATCTGGCTTTCACACCCCCCCCTTCCTATCCTTCACTCTCCCGTCTCCCACGATTTCTCTCCTTCTCCGTCTCTGTCTGTTTGTTGGTGGTGGTTCCCCCCCCCCCCCCCGCCCTCCGTCTCTCTCTCCATCCCCTTCCTCACGCTCTCCGGCCCCTCCCCGGCCCCCCGCGCGGAGGGTCGCAGTTTTGGGGAAGCTCGCATTTGGCCACTTTCCAGGCTGGGCTGCTCGGATGGAGTCAGGCTGAGACTTAGAAGATGCTACGTCTCACAGGCTGACTTCTGTAGCCACAGCTTCAAAGACAACAGTTTTCTTTTAATCAGAGTCAATTAATTAAGAAAGAGGTCTGTTGCTTATTTCCTTGCTTTTTTATCATCAGCTTCTTGCATGGTTTTCATTCTGGGGAAAGATATGTTACCAATTGAGAAAAAGAAAAAAAAAAAAAAACACCCCACTCCAGTAACTCAGGGCTCTTAAGGACGAGTGTTTAGTGTTGTTGAAATAATAGCTGGCTAGCAGGAATTGTTTCAGCTCACTTGACAGCTGCAGCTCTAACATAAGGAGGTATTTGAATTAGGTCATTGTCATGTTTGGACATGGATCGTCCCTGTTTACACTAGTTTATTAAGGATAATCTAAAACACAAGGAATCTGCCAACCGTGGAAGAGATACTTGATAAATATTTTTGCTGACAATTATGGCAGTATGAAAGATCCTAGGCGATTCTTTCTCAAATGTCCAAACTCCTACCTCTCACTTGGATTCTTTCAAACTCTGCTCTTCTCTACCGTGTCTCTGCTTTTCTTTGGAAAGCTTCTAAATTATAGAATTTATTGAACGCTTTCAATAATCAATGATTGTCAGTCAGACCCTGTCTTTCAAACAAGTGATGATGATGCTCTGTTTTCTGACTGTAAAACTGGATTATGATTAGATGTAGTCAAGTGTTTGCTTATCCTTCTGTTTAGATGTTAAGGTCCTCTAGGATAAGAACTATATTTAATGAGTTCCTTATGACTCTATAGTGTATGGCCACACATTGGGCACAGAGGAGATGCTCAATATGTTTTTGCTGGTAATTGGAGAGGTAGCAAATAGCCATAGTCAAGAGCATAGGATCTGCAGCCTGACTGGGTTCAAATCTGGACTCAGCCACCTTAGTAGCGTGTGACCTTAGGTCAATTACTTGACCTCTCTGTGCCTCAGTTTCTTCATCTATAATATGGTTTATTAAAACCTTGCTCCATTAACTCATTAAGTCAGTTGAATGTTTGCACAGTGCTTAAAATAGCATCCGGCAAATTGTAAGCCCTATTTAATTGTATGATAATTATGATTGGTATTATTTTGAGTTAATGGTGCTCCCAGCCCACTGTTTATAAGCACTCACCAGAAGAGAAAATCATCTCTACAGGTGTTTATTGGCCATCTGCATGTATGCCTTCTTTGCTAAAATATCTATCCAAACTTTCTGTCAAAATATATCAAGATGTTTGTTTCCTTATTACTGTGCTGTTGATAGTTCTTTATATATTCTATATAAGCCTTTTATCAGATATATGTTCTGCAAATATATTCCCCACCCCCACCCCCCAGGTCTGTGGCTCTTCTACAGTATCTTTTAAAGAGCATGAGTTTTAAATTTTGTTGGAGCCCAATTTGTGTTTTCCTGCTGAGTTTTTTTTTTTTTTTTTAAGATTTACTTATGTATAATAGAAGAGAGAGACAAAGACACAGGAGGAAGGAGAAGCATGCTCCATGCCAAAAGCCTGACATGGGACTTGATCCCTTGACTCCAGGATCGCGCCCTGGGCCAAAGACAGGCACTAAACTGCTGAGCCACCTAGGGATCTGCCTCCCTCTGAGCTTTAAAGGTGAACCTGCCTCCTGGACGCTCCCATCAGACACCCTGCTTGTATCCCTCTTATCCTCAGTAACAAGGTCAACATCATTCTCTGTCTCTACAGGGAGCATGTCACCCTCCAAGTTTAAGCTTTAATTCATCCTCCTCTTGTATTTGACCTCTGTGCCTGAAGAGTCCTACAACTTGTCCTCCCTGAGTACAGTCTCCCTTGCCCTTTTCCCTTTCACACCACTCAGTTCATTCTGCATGCTAATGTCAGGGAAATCTACCAAAAATGTCGACCTGGCCAACCCTATTGTACACATATTTGTGAATCAAATGCCTAAATAACATAATCTAATAGCCTAGAATGGCACACAGGGACACAATTCCAGTCTTGTGTCCTCGCACTTGATAGAACAGAGTCAGGCAAAATGGGCTACTTGCCTTTCTTCCAACAAAACTGTCATTTCCATAATTGGATATAATAAAGAATTATCGCTTTAGTATAATTATCCTTTAACTGATTCATTGAAACTTTATTCCTCAATGAAAAGAGATATGTAAACAGTAGCATTTAGCTTCAAGGTCTTTCTGGTTTTTTGTTTCTACTTCTGGTGCAAAATTCTTATGACCTTGAGCAAATCACTTGCCCCTCTGGCTATCTGTTCCACCATCTGTTACTCTGTTTTCCATATCAGCCATTCTGATTTGGTGGTAAAACACAGGAATTGTCATGCCAGATGTGTCTTTGGTGGTTTTTTTTTTCCAATTATTTTAATATTGGTTAAGAGAAAAGAGTCCATGGAAATACCTTTTAACAGCAAATAGATGAGTGACTTGTCAAATATCAATGGGCATTGTGAGAGGGAAATTAAGTGAATTAGCTTTCTCCTCAATGTTTAATGCATCTGTCCAAATTCCTCAAATGGAAGTCAGCAAGATTTTTCCTTATTTACATGGAAGATGAAAAACATGATGTGCAGGGGGACTTTCCTAGTTATAAAGCTTTCTTTGTCTATCTCTTCTTTGAAATACTAAGGTACTCTAGTTACTTCTCTTGAGATACTAAAGGCCACAAAACTCCTGATTGATGTTTGAATTTTGAAGCATTTTAATGCTACTGACTTTCAGTTTTAGTTCGTGAACTTTTGTGAATTTGCATGCCTGGTTCCTCGGCCAGTACACCCAAAAGTATACAGGTGTGTGTGTGTGTGTGTGCATGTGTGTGCGTGTGTGTCTGTGTGTTTGTATGTCAGAAATGAAGGAGAAGAAGGAGGAAGGGAGGAGGAAACGAAAGCAAAGTAGGGGAGTGAGTGACGAGAGAGGAAGGTATCTTCCAGGTATATAAATGATCATTGAAATGCAATAATTAAGTAACTAAAGTCATTACATGGCAGATTATTAAGATTTTAGGGAAATCATTAAATGATTGAAGTTTATTTTTGCTTCCTCTAACCTATCTTGGCACTTGCCATCTTTTTTGAATGTCACATGATTCCCTTTGAGGGCTCATGTCCACCAGATGAAGACCCAGGTGTTCCATGTTGTTTCAGAGCCACTCAACTCCCTGAGCAAGATACAAGTAAATGCCACCTCATTTCTGTCAGCTGCTGCTCACCTTTTCAGTCCTTACACGACAAGCAATTCCTTCAAAAGGAATACATTAACCTATTTACATGGATATCATTCTCACATCCTTTAGGCACAGCTAAAGCATCCAGTCATTGTGGATGCCATCCTACTTTACTCTAGCAGGAGGTTAGACACATCCAGAGTTCCTCTCTTACTTATCTAGCCACTTAGAGGCAGACCTCCTGACACCCTTGTCAGCAAAGCCACTCTTTCCTTTATTAGAGTATTTATGATATTTATTACAGCGATTTATTTACATTCCATTTCACTTTACTCAAAAGTGGTGACCCAGCCACCATCTTTATCTCTCCAGAGTTTAATACAGTGCCTAGTGTGTGCTACATGACTAAGATATTTTTATTAAATGAGATAATTAATTGTACCAAAGGGTGACTGTCTATTGCACTACTAATTAAATTAGCCTTTCAAAAAATAAATAAATAAATTAGTCTTTCAAAGTGTATTATTTACTATTTGTATCCTAATGAAAAGATAAATCATAGAGGGAAGAAATAGTTAGCAACTTAGTTGATACCCCCTGGTAAATTCATGTATGACATGCACGTTCTCGCCATGTAAATGTAAACCAGAAATGTAAACCAGAAGGTAGCACCACTGCTCAGGACAAACAAACAAAACTGGAAACCTCTAATGGAAAAGAGCTAATTTTGCAAATGAGAGGCAGAGTTACATCTGCACAGCACAGACTTCTGTATCACATTGACCTTCTTATAATAATAGTAATATTTATATTAGATGTTAATAATTCCTGTGAAATAATGCAACTTTTTTCCTGAAGGGTTATTAAAGTTGAAATATCTGGCTCTTGTATGTGATCTAAAGAACCTGCATTCAATCATTTATTCATTCTAATATAGATTCATTCTTTAAATATGGACTACTTGCTTATTCTCAAAATCATTCATTCAACTCTGTTAGGGCTTTTCAAAAAATAAAGGACACAGTCCCTGAGTTCAAAGTGGTTATATCTTCATGTGGGAGAAAGACACTGCATATCAGTTTCTGGAATATGCAAGAATGTGGCTGGTAATTGGGTAGATGAATGAGCAGAGTCTGTTAGGAACCTGAGGAAAGGAGAAACTGATTCAAATAAAAAGACAAGGTAAGGCGTCAAGGAAGGGGGAGTATCTTGGACTATATTCAAAATAGGACTTCAAATTTGTCAATTGTTTGACAAAAACAGGTATATTCAAAGATTAGATAATAGAGTGGTAAATTGCAAATTAACAGTATATGGCTGATGTATAAGAACATAAGAAGTCCAAAGTCCATAGTCCAAAGGTTGGGTGGTATGTGAATCACTGTGAACTTTATTTTTATTTTTTTTAATATTT